ACTCTTCTGATCAAGTTGAGAGCTTTTAGGATGTGATTTATTATTTTTATTGTTATATTCGATCATAATGTTTATTTAAGCAATTTGATCATGGTTAGCCTAAAACACAAAGCATTTGGACTATAAATTGGTCTACTAAGTTGCAATTTTATGGTTCATGTGCTTTGAGTTTTAGGATGTTTGGTCATCCTAAGCTGCGCCAAGACTAGGACGTGTACTTATAAGGAGACGAGGTCGGAAACAAAAAAACACTAACTTTTCTGAATTTTATATTAAAGTTTTGAGTGTCGGGATGTACCAATGTACACAAACATGAACGTCTTTGGGAAGGGAAGCAACATTTGTTTGAAAAATCTGTGCTACATAGAAGTCATCTTGCAACTTGTGTGTTTGCAGAAAATGAGGATGCAAGAATAATTAGAGAATTTGCGGAGCTACTTGATTCAAGTGAAGCTTATAATACAATGGTAAGATGAATCTTTGTTCTTTCTTTTGGGTTGATGAATACTTGTCTTAAACCTTTTTTTTTGCCTTTAAGAATGAAAAAGACTCTTCTGAAGCAGGATCTCAGAAGACCTTTATAGGGCCAACTATTTCTGAGAGGTAAACTATTTTTTTCCCTCCAATTTTCACTCCTTTATGGTTTACTTATTTGCGTGTGTTGGGTACTGAGATTTAATAATACTCTCTTCGTCCCAAAATAAATTTTACAGTTTGACCAAGCGGAATTTAAGAATAGTGTTTAGAAAAATGAAAGTGATATGGTTAAAATATGTTCAAATACAAAGAGAAATGACGTGAGCCACATATTCCTTTCCTTAAAAGTAGACAAGGAAATTGTTGCAGGGGATCCCATTTATCAAAAAAGCTATCCCACCTTTCAGATGCTGCCACATAACACAAAAATGTGGTCCTGCTGCATTATTGTGCTATGTAGCATCATCATCTAGACAGTGGTAGATAAGGGTGGAATAGCATTTTTGGGAGATGAATCTTTCTCGGAGATTGTGAGGTTTATTTTGGGATAGAGGGAGTACAATAGTTGAGACGAATCACAAAGTCCATTCCTGAATTTAGGTTCGCGGGGATGAAATCTGCTATTGCTACTAACAATTCAAGCTTGAGCGCGTTCTGCAATCACATCGGCTTCACCATTTTGCAGCCGGAATGTGTAGTTCGTGACAACCCACATGCATTGGCCTTGGAATTGCTGAAGTTACTAGGGTTTCAAGATGGAACGGCTTCGGAAACATGCCAGTTTGATTTGGTTGTTCTCCATGTTGAAGAGGATGGCATAGAAGATGTTGATGGTTTGTTAGGCGAGTTAATGAAATTGGCACAACCTGGGACTGAGGTTGGGTCCCGGTTGCACCTATCTGTCGTTCTGAGCTTTGGGAATGTTTCAAACGACGACCATTCTAGATTTTCCATTGCTGATAATAGGCACGAGAGTAATTCAGAGCTTCGTATGTTGTACCCGCGCCAGAGCTATACAACGAAAGGTGGGAAACCTCGAGAGAACGTTAGGTATGTGGACCCCTCTCACTCTAAACTTTCCATTGTAACTGATGGATTTTAATCCACCGGAGTATTTGAACTATGAAGTGAATAAAATGCAACAGATAATACGTGATACTAGAAATTTATATGAGACCGTAGACAATGATCATGGGAGCTTGGGCCTCTTTGTCCTCTAAACATAGGGCCTACCTCACCCATGAAAGAAACAATGACAGATCTAAAGTATAGAAACAGTGTGTTTTTTTTATTGTGGAACTGCTGTCCAGAACTATGTTTCCATACATATAAATAGAGGACTAAACAACACAACCATTACAAATAGACACAACAGTTTCTAACCAACACATCTGTTGGAAACTGTCATAAAACTGCCTGTAACTGCCTAACTGCCTGCCTTTTTTTTTACTTATTTATTTTTAAATTTAAACTATATTCTGGACTGGAATTAACCAACAACCCACTACCTATCTAGATAGGATTTCCACTTCCGGATTGGGTCATACCGGCTCATATCACGTGGGTTCCAATCCTAGATAATAGTTTGGGTTTCAGTGGTGGTCTAACGGTCCGGGCATGTCGGGCTTGATTCCTACATACATTTGGGCCAATCCCGACATGCCCATCAGTAACCATTTAAGCTCATGTTACAAAATGTTACACATATTTAATGCCTCGATTGACAGACACCATTGCCCGATGTTAGTCGCCCAATGGCAAGACGGTGTTACTCGGAAGGATGAGGTTGGAGCATTTTCCTTTCAAGATTTTAAAGAGGTATGGCTGTATTCTTCTTTGATACTGTAATTTTTTTATACCCTTGTTTAGTTTTCAATTTTACTAATAGCCTAATAGGTAGTGTGTCAAACAGACAATGAGAAGTTTGTCATTTACCGTTAGGGCCCGGTGATCGAAGTAGGGTTAGATATGATATAAGTTCTGAAATCTAAAAGAAATTATATGAGTTCTAAAATCTGAAATAAGTGTTCGTGAAGATCTAAAATCTGATTAGTGGTATATCAAAACACTCAGATTGATACTTCCCAAAATCATGAGATATCATAACACCCCATTTGAGAGGATTGTGATATTGAGAGAGATCAAATCCGAACCCTGTTAAGGTTTCACCAATGATTCTGTTATTGGGAGATATCAGAATTCATATCTCTCGCGTTTACATTACATGGATGTTTTATTACAAAAAAGGGTAAATGGCGAAGTAAAAACATGGGACAAAAAGGTAGAGATGGATGCAGTTTAATTTGTGGTCTGTGTGGTTTGGGTAAAACTGGCTGTTATATTAATTAGATGCAACTTTCGTTGTGGATGAAATGGGCAGGACGGTGGAAATCTTGTGATTCCAGCTGACAGATTCCTGCATGAATTGACATTTAAGCTTTGGAAAGCTCCAAAATATGGAGCATGAACATCTCTCTCTCTTTCATTTGGAGCACCACGATTCTTTTGACATCCGTGACCAATGTAAGAATATGATATTGGGTTTTCATTTTAGGTCCCTACATTGTTTTGTTTTATTTAACCTCAAAAGTCGTTTCTTCCCTCCCTAACACCCTCTCAAACCCCCACCACCAGTCTGTGCTTTGCACCCCACCCCGGCCCGCAGTGGATTGTCATCCAAAGGAGGGGAGACCTGGGAGAGGGGCTGGGCTGGGGTGCAGGGGGCGGGCAAGGTAGGTAGGGGAGGGGGTTAGGAATTACTTCTTGGTCCAAGAGAACATTCTAACACCCTGGAATGGACCCAAATCACCCAATGATATTTATGACATTGGTCACCAATGTCAAAAGAATTCAGTCGCATTACGTTTTTTGTTGTTGTTGCAAAATAACGCTTTGACAATGAAAATGGCATCTTTTAATAACACATATGTATGATGAAGTTTTGGCATCTTTATTAATTTATGTAGCAAAGTTTTACAATGTTTATGTATAGCTGAAGTGCCATTTATACTGTCCTGTTTGTTCTAAGAGTTGATTATCACTTTCGGAATGGTTTGATATGCCTACTAAGGCCGCGTTTGTTTGAATGATTTATAGTTGTCTTTTATTTTTCTATTGTAGCACCTTCTATGTTTT